AATTTTTTGTCGTGCTTGGATTTTACTTTTTATTATTATGAGGGCAAATCGTCAAATGACTTCTCCCGCCCAACCTTGGGCGGGAGGGAGTGTCAGACTCTCACTGACTGAAAACAGTCCGGCTGAACATCAGTCCTATAGCGCCCCGCGGTAGTCTATTGGCTCTTTTTTTGAGGCGCGCGCAGAATGCTACGCTCCGTACGCCTGTGTCAGGATCTTGTCGTTCGACGAGCTACCTTTACACGCCGTCCGCAAACCCGCGCTAGAGTGCGCTACGGTGGCCGGACATAATTTCTCCATCGCCGATCCAGGTGTGGCCAACTGCGGCGGCCAGGGAGTGGGGAGTAAGACAGCTCCATCACGCGCTCCGCCTCCCTTTTTGAGAGCATTACAGCTCCACAGAAAGAGGAGTCGAATGCCGCCGATGACTACACTGATCACATGGCGGTGCTCAGCCCAAGCAGGGCACACCGCCGTCGTACACTCCACCGTGACCTCAATGACGACACTCGGGCGTTTCCTCCCACCGGATCCGAAAAAGGCACCTACCGAAGTTTCCGTGCCCGATCTGCACTCTCGACCGGAGTGATACCACGGCCTCACAGAAAACCGGCGTGAGACAACCACAGCGTTGTGTTTCGCCGTATGAGTGAGGTTACCGGAGACCCATTCTTTCCCCTCCCCGGACCCTTCCCCAATCCCTTAATCTCCAAATCTCTAATCCCTTAAAGGTCGGCAACTCACTCGTAACTCCTCCGTTGCGGGTGTCCATGGACGGCGCTGATTGCTTACCATCAGGCAATCCGTCTGCTCGTTTGCCGACTTATTACATTAAAAAAACTAATTTATGTTTTTTTCAAATATATTTTACATCTTTTTTTTTTCACAATTTTCTTGCAGTGTGCCTATAATATATAATTTATATAATTACAATTTTAATTTGATCTTAGCTGTTAACCATTTTGGCACTAGTCGTGTGAATTTGTAAATGGCTCAATGTTACTATTTTTCTGCTAAATTGTATAATGTAGATGTTGATTCACCATTTATTAAATAAATAAATAAATAAATCTCCCCACCCTGGGTGAGAGAAATCATTCGAAAACTTTTCTTTGTCAAAAAAAAGAGTGAAATGCTGCGGAATTATCTGACTCGGTATTGGTAATGAGACCGTCATAACAGACCAGAGCTACCATAGACTATGATTGCATCCATGGACGCAGCACAAGTCTCTCACAGCATCCAAAGTAGCATGCATGGAGCGCGCGACTGCGTGTCTCGGCGGCTCCTAGTGGTGCCTTCGATTAGTCACGCGCTGGCCTCCGTCTTCCGCGGCCATTAATGGGGAGTGGAAGCCAGTGGGTGAGTGAGCAATGCAATGTTACGTAACTAAGTACAAGCCTGACACACAGGGGGTGCATTCTTCCGGGGTTAGTCACGAGGAGCACGACCGCCCCCCGCGCGCCCCCCTCCCCCCTTTACACTATGTCGCGGTACAAAGCTCTGGTTCCAGTAATTGCTGCCTAATGGTTTCGTGGGGATTTTTTACATTTTTGGATGTCGAAGCACAAACATTAATGTAATTGCTTGCTATGTAAGTAATGTATGTACATAGTTATTTGCCGGCCAGCGGCTACTAATTATATGACTATGTAAGTACTAGTGTTTACCCTCTAATGTTTGACAATTAAGGTGCAAACAGTATCGAGGCAGTCACCTCATTACTTAAACGAGTGGCCATTATTTATTGTTTAAAACAAACAGACATCAACGAGACCAGTCACCACAGACACCAGAAATAATAAAATTCATGATTTGTGTGGAACAACGCACAGAGTAGCAAGCAGTAGTGATAAACATTGGCAAGTCTCCTGCTGGTGCATATAAAGTGACGGGCGGACGTAGCCAAACAGTACAAGAATACATAATACATTTACAAAAAGAACTTGAAAAACATATATCACACAACACTGGCGGACCCACTTGCTATCTATTCACCCTCCGCCCTCCGCCCTCCGCCCTCCAGGATGAGTCAGCGCTCTGGGAATTTGGCAGTGTCGCAATCACCCCGGCACGGCGCAGGAGCTGGTGTGTCACAGTACTTACCTGCGAGTTGCGAGTGCCGATGCAAGGAGTCACTGCTTACGTTCACTTGTTTTCTTACGATATCTATTTAGGCTTCGTTATTATCATGTTTCTGGATGTCAGTGGTGTGTTAATAACATTAGAAAGTTTCTAATACTTGTATAAAAACACATTAGTATTAATTCGTCAGGTTTCGATCCAACATCCTTATGCTCGAGGAGCCTTAACTGAAACAAAATGATGACCACAGAAATAGGTACAGTGGTACCCAGGTTTGTTAAATTATTACTACTTATTAAGTAACCTTGTGGCAGTCAAGGCCCGCAAGTGGCAGAAATAAAAGAACGGGGGCCGCTCTTGTGTAGGTACAGCTCTAGAAGATCAACATACCACTGAATGATCTCAAGTAGTCCATCGTTTGGGAAAGATAAGGAACATAGCAAACTAAAAATAAACTTAAAATAAAACAAAAAAGATACTTATGAAAAATGTTTGCGACACACACTATCTTAAAATGATTGTAAAGTAAGTACATAACTGCAGTTAGAGTGCGCACATTCCGCTACCGGAAGGAGGTCCAGCAGAGTGCAGGATGAACGACTGTTTCAGATGATGTCTATATGGTGGTAACTGACATCCAACATCCAAGTAGCTACATACACATCTAATCGGAGCTCTACAAGGCAGCTTGTGACGTGTATCTGTAGGTATTGTGTGCCGGCGCCCTTATGTCTCGTTATATTGCTATGGTTTTGGTAACTGCTAATAAGTGCATAGTTCAGCGTTCCCACCCTCGCGCCCGTGGCTCACCCCGTGCGGTCCCACGGCCTTCCAGGAAGGCGGCGCGGCGCCGAGCGGACAATGCGTGGCCGACCTCAATAACCACCTCATTAACGTAATCCTTTATCTGTGGGCACTACATTGTGTAGCTCGCCCGGGACTGACTCGTGTCACATTGCTGTACCTATCTGGGAAATTAAAGATTTTACGTGGTCAAACGGCAAACGCGTTTTTAACAACCTAGGAGAAATCACCACATGCCTTACTTATGCTATCAGCTACCTCCAGCTCGTCCTGGTGAAAACGAGCTGCTTATCTATCGTCAGTCCGCGTTGTTTTGACATTTAACATTCCCGTAATATCATGGAGTTGTAAATCGTTTAAGGCTATGTTCGGGCAAAGGAATATGGTATTACAATATAGTATTACAATATTGATATATAAATGTTTTAACGACCTATGTACGAAGCAACTCAAACACTCAAAAAAAGTATAATAAACACGCTGCGACATGTGATTAGTTATTCCTAATTAGTTTTCATGTATATTCATACACTGGTCATTTAATTTTGTTAAGCCTGAATATAATATTGCGGGATCCTACAGCGGGCTAGTTACTGTCTGACTGTCTGTCGTTCAGTGACCGCGCACCACGCACTGGCTGTATCGCATGTTTTATTTAGTGGTAGGTTTGTTATCCATTGAGTTGTTCTTACGTCAAAGTGTAACAGATAGGTATCTACAACCATCCAAAATTACAAACTTTAGCGTCTCTAAAAAATTTTTATTTGCTTAATGGGCTTTATCCAGACCAAAACTTTAAGACTAGCTCATACGTAAGAGAGTTCGGATATTAAATAATTGATCCTCGTATATTCCGGACACACTTCATCAGGAAATATAAAAAACATCATCCATGCAAAGAAAGCAGCGCCTTCGAGTTGTTTGCTTTGGTAACCTGGATATTGTTCTCGAATGTACAACAACATCTGCCAACATCTCCTCGTTTGAGTTCTCAATAAGTAGGAGGAAGCTGGCGATCAATTTGTAGTACTTTTACTTTGTTTTTTTTTTCTGTTTAATTCTTTCTAAAACACGATGTTACGGCCGAGTCGGTGTAAATGTGACAATCATTTATTGCAATAACATAAATATAGAAACCCGCCACGTGTCTGTGGTCGTGTGTTTGTGCAGGGCAGATAATGTTTGGCAACAATGGTCCCCGCGGCCGCCGCTGGCGGTGCAGTAAATCAGTTATCGATGATGGCTCGTTACGAGCTGTTTATTTATGTGAGCGCGGCGCGGCGGGGTGCCGGCCCGGGACAGACATGTCACAACAATTTTTTACAAGTCGCATGTGTTCGCGGAAACTTCAACTTGTGAAAAACTGTCAGCTCAGCTATTTACAGCACTTTTACTGCTAATACGTTATTTATTGATTCCCGGGAGACCATAACCGGGTGATTTGTGACCGCCGGTCGCACACATGTTCCCTGAGGAGGAGCACAGGTCCAAGAGTGAGCGCGGGAGTGAGTGAGTGACTGGCCGCGGGCCGCGGGCCCAGGTGCGGAGTGGCGTGGTAGCGTAGGTCGGGAGATGTTGTGCAGATAAGGCGGAGGCGGCGCGCACGTGCTGATAGCGACTTATCTCCACGCGAGCGCACGCGCACAGCTGATCGCCGTACTCAACCTGCCGCCGCCTCGCCTCCACCTCGCCGCCACCTCAGCCTGCACCCGAGCGCTCCCACGCGCTACCGTTGACACCTTCGAGCCGTCGTTGATGCACCACGACCCACTAATGTCAGCCGTAATATTGTTTACTGTAAATTCTGTTGCAATCATTATATTATTGAACGCCGCTAATGGGCAGACAACATTTAGGTACTACACATCTACACGGTGCAAAATTTTATTAATTACCAAGAAAGTTCGAAACGTGAAATTAACAAACAGTACCTATATAGCAGTAATTAATAGATAAAATATAAAAGTAGATTTCATCACGCATAGGTACACGTAGATAACAGTTAATAACCCTGGTGCTCTTATTTTTTATTTCAAAGTATATTCTTGTTCGGTCCTCTCCTCCCGGAGGACACTCCCAATTCCAAAAAGTGAAAATAATAAATAGTGAAGGAAGGGGCGGGCTCGGGGTGTGTGCGCGTGGCGGGGATGATGCGCGCGCGCAGCGGCGGGCGGCGGCCGGCGGCGGCAGTCAGCGCAGCGCCGGCGACGCGAGCACTCGTCCCGCGCCATCTCCGGACACAGCGCACAGCATGCTGCACGAGTCGTGGCCCGCCGCCTGGCACAAGGCGGACTCCTTCGAGCTGGACGCGCTCTTCGCCGAAGTAAACAACAACTGCTCCAAAGGTGAGGGTCGCCCGCCGCGGCCGCCGCCCACTGCAGACTGCCCCCGCCCAGTCTGCGCAGCGCTGCTTCTGTTTGTGTCACGTTTCGGATAAAGTTTATTCATAAATAGTTGCACGTGTGTGTCATTACGTCCGTGCCCCGGGTTGCCACTACGGGACCTAGTGGACGCGAACACCGGCGTGACGGTGCAGCGCGGTGCATGAGTGCATCGTGCCGTGTGGACCAGCCAACTGTACTTGTATTATAATGTCCATTGACATACATGGTGATGTGTACTTCTAATAGTTATGGTTATATTTATGAAAATAACGTCCAAATCATTAGCTGATAAGGATTAATTTCTCTTAGATTTAGTTTATATCAGGGTTATATCACTTATACTGCTCGTTTGATTACATTTGTTTACACTATTTAAGTTTCAGTAATAATGGAGGATGCGTTCGAATTATTATTGTAACCGCCGTGTTTGTAGCCAGTCACTAGTCGTTCTTTGAAAGCCTATAGACTGTACATGCGTAGTGTAGGTATATATTGCGGTGCTCCACACCCACGCATTACATGCCACTATACGAAACACAAATAGGTACATTGTTATTGTTGTTTTAGAAAGAAAGAAAAATAATTTCTTTCTATCTTTCTTTCTTTTTAATAATATAGATACCTACATATTACGATCCTACATAATAGCATTGTGTGGCAACTTCAATGTCAGTCGGCACGCTCGGGTACAAGCTGCTGTAGCAGCTGCAGGTGAAGCAGCGTGTCCCAGCGAGCCGCGAGCTGACGGGCGGGCCCTGGCTCGCTTTCTATCTATTCGGATGATCACAAATAAAACTGTGGTGTCAGTGAGCGCCAATCGGATCGCAGAACGCTGCGCATGTGTGACTAGTAGCGAGTAACGAGTTGTGCGTGTGCGCAGAAGGCGAGGCGGAGTGCGGCGCGGAGGGCAGCGGCGGCGACGCGGAGAGCCCGCCCCCCCTGCCGCCGTTCGGCTACGCCCACCCCGGCGCGCTGTCGCCGTCCCACTCGCGCAGCTACCAGGAGCTGCGGCCGGCCGCGGCACACGCGCGCGACATGCAGGCCTACGCGCACCTCGAGGAGGTGTTCAAGCCGGGCAGCGCCGCGCCCGCCGCGCCCGCGGGCTCCACGGACGGCGTCTACCTGCGCCGCAGCAGCCCCGACCTCAGCCCCTCGCCCGAGCGCCGCGACGACTTCCGCGCGCACTACGAGCCCTACACGCCCGCGCCCGCGCCGCCGGCCTACGCGCACGACCACCACCATCACGTCGACGGGTGAGTCTTCTTAGCATTCTATCCTTAGTTCAGTCCTTATACTTACTTTGCCACCAGCCTATGTTCCACCATAACACCTTACGATGCATATAGGTACTCTAATAAATACCAGACACAAGTTTATGGGTAGATTAAATATTTTGAAATATGTTATGTACTACTGAAACTACTTAACTCAGTTGTTATCTCGCACTACCACTGAATGAATCTATGCATATAAGTGCTTAGGTATAGATAAATAATTGTACCAACATAGTTACACCTACGTACGTGTGTCTTCACAAAACGGAGTTGTTACCAGTTAGTTAGTAACGTTCAGTGAAACGATTGTCTCACTACAGCAATCGTTAGCAGTTACAAGTGAACATTTTCTGTGCACCAAAGATAAAGTCGTGCACTGTCCATCTGGTGTAGACCGCAACCAAAGCAGCCAGACAAGGACAAGCCCAGCACGGATCATAATAATACGTCTTCGTTTCCTTTTGGGCTCTGCGTGATAGTGCGAGGCGGTGTCCCTGCAGCCGAGACATTACGTGAAATGTCATTAGTTGTAGCCCTCTCTGACTTTGCTCCACCCCACACTCTATCAGTAGAATGTTAACTAACGCGTTTGTTCACTGCAGCATTCAGTACTCATTAGGTTTGGGCATACGTTTATGTGTAGACGCTGCTGGCAGCTTACAGCCTGATTCCTTCACTTGCTACTTACAACTTGAACTTCCGATGATTCTGGCACGACATACTTCCGTGGTACATGGAAGTGCCTTCGTGAAGAAACCGTCTCACAGATTTCCGGCATGAAGTAGTGACGAAATGTTACTTCTAATTAGATAGAGCCATCATTTAAGTGTAGGACATTCCCACTCGTTGTGCTGCATTCAGCTGTAGGATACTGCCATGCAGTCCGCAAGCTGTACTAGTACCTACATTAACCAATAATACTAATGTGAGTGTTACGTGCTAAGTCTCTCGTGCAATAAGGGGCATTCCATGTATCAAAAATTCCATCCATGACTCATTAGAATATTTGAAAATATCTTAAATCCATCGGCAGCCGCGATTGCGCCTACAGCAGTAACGTCGTCGTTTAGGAGCACGAACATACTTAGACTAGTGTAAGCTAGAGTCAAATCAAATCAAATCAAAATCATTTATTCCAACCAAACCATAACTAGGTACTTTTGGAACGTCAAAATAGAATAGTAGTCTGTCAGTCTGTTCGTCAGTGAAGCTAGGTGCTCGTTCCAAATTGTAGATTCGAATGGAGAAACTCCATCGTTACTCTTTTTAAAAAAAGTCCGTGTGTATTTATCTTATTGTTTGGCAGAGCTTCATTAGGAACAAGTACAATTAAAATTTTAGTATAAGTACTATTTTACGTTAGGAGCCAGCCAGTCAACGAGGTAGTCTCTTACATGAGTTTAATCGGAATCTTTCAATATCAAATTGCCTACATTTTGGTGGCAGTTGGCGGTAGGAGCAGGGTATTGTCAGGATGTACCTAACGTGTAGTACTGCGAGGGTAGGTGGTGGCACGGGGCACCTCGTGTACGCGTTTATTGAGCGTCGGTAGTGTGAGTAGTGGAGCGCAGCGCTTGCGCAGCGTGAGGGTGTAAGCACGTCCTGGGCACGTGCGCGGTACGTGCGCGCGCGCCGCTTGCGACACGAGCCAGCATTCCGACGTGCCCCGCGTCACTCCACCAGACACAGTGGAAAACTCCACAGAGTTTCTGCAACATGCTTCTCTTCACTAGTACAAACAATGTAGCAATAGCTCGTCTTCAGCGCGTAGCGAGGCCCGGGTAGTGCGCGAGTAGCAAGCGGCCGGGTATGTGGAGCGGAGTCGGTGGGCCCCGCTAGTCAGGCTACCGCTGTAGGTAATGGAGTAGGTTGGCGCGAGTGTCGGTGGCGGGCGCGATAAGACGCGGTGGCGCGCTGCGGTCGCCGCTAACTGCTCTTAATTTATTTATAACTATTTAATTTGCTACAATTACACAGCGATGCCTCCGAAACTCGTTGATATTCATGGCACTAATGAAACTAGTTTGTGGAGAGGTGCCTCAAGCTGTTTGAATAATTACCTTTAAATTATCCAGTTGTGTCACAAATATTCAAACTATTTCAAACTCATACTAAAACGAAGTGAAGAATAAGTTAGTTATCTATTTATTGAATACATTGTAATGTCAAAGGCGAGGATGTCTCACACGAATATATGTAGGGTACTGCTGGTCTTGGTCGGCTGTAAGTGCAAATTGCACATCCTCACATTTAGCAGCTGAGGCAATAAGTATCTCTCGCTGCACGCAGAAGGAATGAGCAATATCTAATCATCACCACGCGTGCGCAAGAAGGACTGCTGATTTTGAACTTATAATTTAGAATCGTACGTCCTCGTTTCCTCAGAATGTTTAACATTTTAATTACCTAATGATCTTAGAAATTGCCTACATATACATATGTAGGAAAATATTTCATTAGTAGGTAAATGTCAGGGTTCGAACCTGCACACCCCTGTTTAAAGAGCGGTCGCTATAACTACAGACCCTAGACCATAACATTTTGCTAAATACCTAATAATTTGTGTTCTAACAACAACAACAATTTGTGTCTGCCAACAAACTGCTATGCACTTTGGCAGTAGTATATTTTTTTTTGTAAAATTGTCGTTAAAAATAAATCTTTTTTAGAAGAACCTCCACAACGTACTGTTATATATGCTTTATGAATAGGTAAGGGTGCATGTTTTTGCATGTTATTTAAGATATACAACAAATTGTTGTATTTCAGAAATTGAGAACTCAACTTGTTTAAACTGAAATTAAAAGAATTTCTTAATTACAAAATGTCATATACTGATTATCTTGAGGGAAATCCTTATGGTCAATAATTAATAATTAACTTAATTTATTTGACATTGCTTGTGTGACATTTACCTTTTTCCAATATATTATACATTTCTAATTCGACATTTTTTTTTACTTCAGTGGTATATGTAATTCTAATTTCTTTGACATTAATGTATTCTAAGAACATTCGAATTAATTCAGTTCAATAAACCTAATTTTATTATATAATTGGGTAGTTTGCTAGGTCAAAAATAAATAATTTTACATTTCAATATAGTAAAGTATCGAAAAACAACTATACTTTCATTCATCGATCGATCGCTACACTAAATTTTAGATATTTTTTAGCAAACTTAAAAAAATAAGTAAGCTGTCCTGAAAATGACTACTATGACGTCATAACTCAGTATTTAATACAAATTTTATAGAAAATTATAGTTTTTGACATTTGGATAAAAGTATTGAATTTGACTAGTTGGAAACTACCGTATTATTTATATAACATATCTTTGCATGTCAAGTGAAGGCAAAATATGAAAGTTGTAAACTTTGTAAACCTATATAATATAATGTTCCTTATACTCTACTTTCCCCTATAACTTCACGTTACTGTCAAATGAAGCATTCATTGAATGCCGTGTACAGCAGTAGTACCGTGTTCAGTAAAATCGTTCGGTTCATTATATTTTTTCTGTAAAATATCTACAATATACATATATTGTGTGTATTCGTGTTTTTATTCTATGAAATAAAATGGATAAACGTAGGAAATACTCAGGAAAATATTTTAAACTGAATTCAACATGTAATTATACAAGAATATGTAGTATGGTTGTCTTACTGTTCGCGTGCAATTATCATAAACTCTTCAAAATAAAACGTAACGGCAGTGCAGTCTGCATGCACTACTAATGACATCCTACTGGCCAACCTTCCAGCCTTGCAGGCTCACACACTTACTTACTGGCAGAGGGCGGCGGTAGCATACATGGCTATTATGCCTTTCTACTTCATGTAAGCCTAATTTCCGTGGTTGGTGGAGGCGTTTTTACGGGTTTTAAGATTTTAGCAAGTTTTTGGTTTTTTACATCAGAGTTTTTCCAAGTTATACATCGTAAGTCGTCTAGTAATATATAATAAGTCCAGTTTGCCAGTCGGTGATTCGAAAAATTACTGCTCAGGCTTATGCCTGTTGGGCAGCCATGCTACGTCGTTGGCCGCATCACCAATGTAAAGTCTAATCATCTATTTCAGTTAATCCAGTATAGGTACTTTTGAACCACAAATAAAATTATATAAAAAGTCTGTCGCTCAGGACTCCAATAAAGTTATTTGCTAGTTCTATTGTTGGTACCTATACGAGCGAGAAGCTTCATGTTACCATGGACCTTCTCGCTCATTTTTCAATCGGTTTCACAATCTTTAAATTGGTTACATAATGAAGTTGGTTCAATTATGTAAAAACCAACATTCCGCTAAAGAGACAGAATACGCAAATAACTTTAAGGACATTAATACACGGCACCAGCACCACCCAATTGTTTTCTCACCAGCTCAATAATAACGAAACAGAAAATGTTTGGTCGGCACGGAGAGTTTTATAATCTGAACCGCGGCAAGAGAGTTTTATAATCTGAACCGCGGCAAGAGAGCTGCAGTGCTGCACCCATGTCGATGGGCACATCTAGGTACATAGCGCATGTTACAAAAAAAATGAGTGGACGCGATTGTTTCGGCTCGCGCCCGCATAGAGCGCGCCGTAGCTCGGTCCCTCAGTACTCAGTACTCAGTACCTACGTTGTAACATTAGTGAGAGCCGGATTGTGCGTTTCGTTGAGCGCTTTCTGCGAATAAGCAATGCTATCGTTCACTTCCTGCGGTGCGCGCGCGCCGCCATTGTGCGCAACGACACTTAACCTAGTGAGAGCGAGGCCCGCGACCCGCGCCCCCTGCACCCCGCGCCCCCGTGCTCGCCCCGCGCTAACAACACCGTGTTTGTCGATCCGCACTCGGGGATTAATTTATGGCAACCACTCTAACACCAAAAGTAAACTCACCCTCCTAACGCAGCCGATTGCTTGTGCAAATACGTTGTATGCTCTCATACTTGGTTATTTGCACTCGTCGACATTTTTTGTACTAGGGTCGGGATGAAGTCGCACGTCCCCTCGAGCGAGGTCCCGGGCGGAAGCGCGGCGCGGGAGACCCACCATCGTGTATTCAGACCGTACAACCGCGCCATAGTTTACGAGGATGGTGATGTTCCGCTAGAAACAGAAATGTCAGCACAATGTGGTCTGAGGAGCGTGGAGGGTGGAGGCTGGCGTCCCAGGGTGTCGGGTGACAAGCGCGTGGGTGCCGCCTCGTGAGAACATCTCCGCCTGAAGGCTTCACATTCATATCTCGGGAACTAAACGTCGCGTCGCGCTCTCCGGCACACACACAGACACACCTAGCTACGCAGTACCGGCGTGAGCGTGCATAGCGCGGCAGTTTTATTATTGACTTGGTCTGTTTGAAAATAATTAATATCGTTAGGCATGTTTGCGTTTTCCTCCAATATTCAAGTTTGTTTATTGTTACCAATTAGTATAAGGAAAATCCCACTGTAAGCGGTTAACGACAATCGTCTAACTCTATTATTACTTTGTAAACCTACTTAAATGTTTATTGTAAGTATATGCTCGTAATAGTTATTTATATGCATATGCAGTAAGCACAAAGCTAGAAGCACACTGATCCCGCGCCGCTCACTGCTAAACTAACAGCAAACATACCTAGATAGTAAACTATATTATTTTGTTAATGCAAACTCATTGGAAATGTGTGGCCTTCTTCTGTTTCCCGCTCGCGGCAGTCAGCTCAGTCGTGACAGACACTAAGGGCGTTGTGCAGGTAAATCGCTTGAACTCGCTGTGCGACTGACAAAACTTCATCGCGTCTCAGGTCGAGCAGCGCGGGCTGCGCTTGCGCCGGCGCTCACGAGTTATTTGTCGAGGCGACACTTTTTATAGTCGTCCCCGTCTAATGCGCCATTTTACACGTTTTAAGGGTTTTCGAAGCGTTTCCAAATTTGTACACATTATTTTTTGTGGGTGTTGAGAGACGGTTTAAGTGTCTCGAATGAGTTATTTGTATAGGTCCTTAACGTTCCGGTGCGGGATTAGGCCGATGATGCACAAACACCGACGGGCTCGGCCAGACTCGTCGCCACACGTGTGCCGGCCGTGGCCCGCGGCGCGTGCGAGGGATGCGGGCTACAAGCGCCAGCACTCGCGCGCTGCACTACGGTCGCCGCACTTCCGCGTTCCTGGTACTTGGCCACTGCGGGCATTCGCAACCATGTAACACATGAGTAGTGCAGGCTCGGGGCCGCTCCATATCTGTCGCGTGGCTCTGTTTTAGGTTTATCGCAGGGAGATGTGTCACTGCAGCTTTGTCTGACGTGACTGTAGCTTCCGAATGGACAGGCACACTGGAACAATGGGCATTCGAGTATTGTAAATATGATCGGCAAAGTCACAGCTTGTGTGGAAGCCCGCGCCTGCGCGTAATGAATGCAAGCGGGTCGAGGGCGGCGCGGCGCGCGATAACGCACACTTCCGAGACGTTCCGAGCCATTAGCCGCGGTGCGCTCTACTTAACAGCTACTCGCCGGGTGCCTCCAGCGATGGTACAATGTTCAGTACTAGCACCCGCAGCCAGCGTAATGCGCCAGGCGACGTGCGCGATACTTTCCAGCGTCGCCTTTAACACGAACACGAACCGCGACTTCGCCGTACACACACGTTACTGTGCAAAGTAGAACAAATAAATAACAAGTACCTACAGATGTTAGAAGTTTGTTTAGGTACCATTCAAGTAGGTACTTTGTGTGATGTCGCCTGCTTAATGCCAAGCAGAACCATTGCTACTCAATACTTAGTGTGCTGAACTGCGACTCGCAAGTAACGAGTGCCGCCACAACTATCAAAACGCGTCATCTCAACGTATTCGTGTACTAGGCAGCGGATTATATGTTTATCTGGACACTGTGTAGTGTGTAACAAGTACCCACGAATATTTCATGTAAACTGCGGTGCTTACTAACGCGGCGTAGACAAACTTCAATAAGCTATCCTACACCTAAAGTTCCCCCGGGAATCAAATTACTATTAAGCTACTAAAGACTTCTTGACTTTGACTTTGCATATTCCAAGTCGTTTTTGTTAATATTTTTTGTAGGTAGTTTACAACCTTTAGCACTTACTTCAAATCAGTCAGAATATTTTTTTACTTTTTATTTTCGTTGACAAATTAGTTCTTCAAGCATATATACAATAAAGTAGTATCAATTTGCTGTTGTAAACAGTCGATTGCTTGTGGTAGATATCTCGGCATCCTGGTGTGTTTCTGTAAAGTTAACTAGGTACTCGTAGGTACTAGCCTACGATGGCAGATTCGTGTTGTGTACATGACATGTTTATCCCGCAGTGGTGGAGGAGGCAGTGGTGGGGGAGGCGTCTACTCGCGCTGCGCGTACGCAGCTGGTTCGCCTTACTTCGGGAACGGTGGCGACATCAGTACGCAACCGCAGATCTGGACATCTAGTGCAGGTATATTGAAGCACTGCTCGCCCTGTGGTTCTGTCAGCGTACTGTGATGTAACGAGTGGCTCCTCCTCGCAGGCGGATCCCCCAGCTACGGAGGCGGCGGCGGCGTGGTGCTGGGCGAAGAGTACACGGAGGGCGGCGGCGCGGAGGGCGCGGGAGGCGGCTCGCTCCCAGCCTTCAGCGCGCGCTTCGGAGGCGCCTTCGCGTGCGCCACGTCGCGCCCCAACGCCGTGTACGGCTCCAGCACGCTGACCGCGCCGCCATACTCGCACCAGGTCAGCTCGCGCAGGGAACCTTACTCTCGCCCGTGTTGCACGCCCCCCACCAACCCGGAGTATATCGTAGTGCACTTCATGTACGACCCGAACCAACAAGACGCTTTATCTGTTTTCAGGAGGTCTGGAGCTTGGAGAGCAGTCGACGACCGCAAATGTCTGCAGCTGCCAGTCTGTCTGCCAGTAAGTACATCATTAAACTCTTCATGTCAGGAAATTGAATATCTCTTTACACGATCTCTAATATTTATCAGGTAGTTTCTTATAAGTAGGTAATTTGTAGTTGGTATTTTGTTCCTTAGGCTCGCATCTACTAGAGCTGGCTATAAACACACGATGACTAAACAACACCGCGATTGTGTTGCGAGTTGAACTTCACTCGGCATGATTCACAAGCAGCTGAACCTACTGCGTACATACATCGTCAAATTAAAAATACAACCAGCCTTGTACTCATGCGGCACATTGGCCAGCAGTATGAAGCAGTTCTGTGACGTAGGTTGCGCTGAGGTACACACTGCAGACACCAAACAAGACAACGGCTGCCGCTGTTGCAGACATTATAATTACACGCAACACATAGCGCCCCTACACCAACAATGTTGTCACTCCAAGCAGTCACAGCTCTTGCCAGGCACACGAGGTGTGCACTATGTGACATGGAACAATGACCACGCCTTCTCATCCAATGTTTTAGGTTAAAGGGCGAGTCTACTACTCGAGATACATCGATCGGTAGTTGTCTGTGCGCTTATACTGGATTATTCAGAACTTCGATTACGATTCGCCACCGCTACGTAAGGTTGATGCTTCCACAGCGAGACTCACAAGAAATATCTTGTGTCTGCGCAACAACTGACGACGTACAAACTTTAAATAAACAATTCGCACTCAAAATAACGTATCCCGACTAATGACACTAATAGCAACCACCGAACGACTGCTTCAGGATATGTCTCATCGAGTACCCACGATACATTTCGGTTAGACTTGATGCCGCGTCGCCGTCAACAAACATCGTGGCGATAAAAAATTACAAGTTTGATGGTTCCGATACGATAATAGATAGCAACCGAGGCGGGTGGGTGAGGGGCGGGCGGAGGCATCGTGTCATGTTTTTGTGGCAGCCTGGCGGGTCACGGCGCGATAGCCCGACCCGCGGCTCGGCCCGCGGTACGGGGCCCGCGGCACTAGCACTGCTAGCGACTCGGTTGCGCGCGCGCATCTCCTAAGCTTCCGCCACGTTTTTATACACGAACCGATAGATAAGCAATTCCCAAAAAATAGAGACGATAAACACAGTTCCGACATTATTTACGAGCGTTCGAGTGAAGGCCCATATCATAATTTAGGGAGGCCACTTAAACCTTCATCAGTCTTCGCGGAGTAACGATTCCCGTTTTATTACTCTTTTGTGACCCTTCAACTAAATTAATATTATTTCTCTGAATAGACTGTGACGAAAAAACTACTCACCAGGAATTGAAAGTAGCAACATTTTCACAATGTTTATGACCCTTTGACACAGAACGGACGTCATTATGAGAAGGAACATTAAAGTGTCCTCAGACATGTTGGTGGCGGTGCAGCGCGACGCTGAACCTAGCTGCGTAAAGTAACTCGGAATGAAATATTATTACCAAAACTATGAGAAGAAAATAGAAGCGATGAAAGTTTCTGTTGCAATTATAAATGCATTATGATCGCATTATTAGTAATCAACAGCTCCGACTCTTTGTCCCAACTTCCTACTCGTGTGCTAATGGACGGCTGTAGCGGCAATGAGACAGCACGCAGTTTGTTTTGTTTTAGTTAACTGATACGACGATACACATTATATCGACGTAGGTGTTTCAGAACATCACACATACAGATGTGTTACATAGTCTGAACCAAATGAGTCAAACAATACATGTTGCCATTATTGTTCTTACATTACACAATGTAAGAAATAATACACACGAAAAGATTGGTTAGGTAAATATTCCAAAAGGCATTTTTTTATATTCCTGTTTTGTTGTGTGTCTCCTCATACTAGTCTATCGTGGCAAAAATCTGAAATGTAATCGATTACAAAATTCAGATTTTAGTTTTGTTTATGGACTTTTATTATTATTATTATTTATTTCAATGCACAAAACACATTATGTACAATCATATATGTACATATTATACTGTAAATACATTGTTTAAATCGTACGTAACTAATATGTATGTGCGCACATAGACAAACAAAAAGTTTACACAAATAATTATGTCTCTGGTTTATAAATAATAAAACGTCATTAACATTTGGATGCTTAGCTACCGGAGTCAGCGAGTCTAGCCTACTATGGAGGATGGCTGTAACAATTTTAATATAATTTGTTACAGTTGCAATCAAAAACGTCTAGTGATTTATAGATTTTCGACATATCATTAAACTGAGGTTCCATTCTTGTTAATGGATTGTAATTAGAAATATTGTTTTTATATAATTGAAGGGCGTTTGATGTTCGTATCATTAGCCGTACGGACATTAATATTAATATTAAACTATTCACTCGGTATCTACCTGAATCCATTTTTTTTGTTGGTTTGTCAACACTCTGAAACTACAAATTACAAATATCAAAGGACTCTGCTCAATGTTAAAACAACAGACTCTCAAAATGGTAAACTGTGATTAATACATCAGTACGCCTATAAATAGCTGTAATGTCGTCGCTAATTATGTTGTTCACACAGTCGAGGTCATTATTTGCCTCTAGTAGTAGTACTTCAAATTGGATGATTATTTTAAAATTAACATTATTATTCTCGTTTTCCGTTACTTCGAAACCAAAACGTACATGTTTAAGAAACGCAGTGGCAGCGTGCTACAGCAGCTGAGTGCGGTGACTTGCTCAATTGGTCGCGGTTTTCCTGCTGAGCGCAGTCCCGCCGCCATTGATGTGGACACTCGTACACTAACGACACAGTCGCGCCGCTCGCCGCTCCGACTGTTTGCATAGGTCGCACCAAAAAAAACCATGTCTTGTTTTAAAATGAAGTCGTTCCTTTTTAAGCACATTAAAATCGCATTCCGTAAATGGTATCGGATAAGGCACGTGCCGCGCAAACAGTCGCGCGTCCGGCCGCAGCCGAGTCTCCTGCTATCGCTACAAACAAAGCGCCACAAAAACCATCGCCGACCACGTACAGACCGTGTCTCCGCGTCTTTGCTGACTGACACTAATGCGCGGTGTTATCACGCGCGCGCCGCCAGATGGCGCGCTATCGCGGCGGGACCACCATTAGGACATAGTTGGCCAGTGACGTCACACGCGGCCCTGCCATACCAACCATTACCAATGTAACCAAAACAAACAGAAATTATTGAAAATTATAAAACTGCACTAGTTACCTATTATCCTCCCGTCTGATTACTGTACTATCTATCAGACGGGCGAATAATGATGAACGAATAATAGTCCCGCTCGGTACCTATTACTATTGCTTAGGTCAGGTACAAAGATGTTACGTAAACTAGGTCGTCAGTCGCGACGTTGCTTCCATTTAAATTTAACTAAAACGTTGAGTTTACTTGCAAATTGACGCGTTCCAAGATTGCATCCACTAAGTACATAAAATCAAATAAAAAGGCTCCAAGCAAACACGCCAGTAGGAACACATTAACAATAGTTCCTCGTCGGAATGAGGTCCGCTTGCTTTAACGGCATATTGTATGGCAGCCGTAGGTCGCAGTGTGAGCGGGCGCAGTACAGGCGCGGCCTCACTGCTGGAGTGCTGGCTACAGTCCGCAGCCTGCAATTACATCTTGCTCTGCGATGACTCGCTAGTCAATAAGTAACATGATAACGTGGCGAGTGTGTACGCTGGCCGCTCTGCGCCTGCGCACATGGCCGGGCTCTCGTTACAAACACCAACGTAATGACGGGCTAATGACATCCATATTTTATGCTTATTGCGAGTAATCGGAGCCGCGCCATTCATTCCAGCCAAATGTCTGTCAAGTGGTGTGCGTGTCACGTGACCCATGTAGCCATGTAACGGTCGCAGATTCCATTGCAACTGTACGCTCGCTGCGTGGGCTGGAGGCTGGGAGCCGGCGCCGGTCGGAGCCATGTCACGTCCAGTCTACGAGCGACCTCACACTCGCCGTCTTCTGGTCGAGTATCGGTCAGTTAGTGCTCATTGCGTTTACACGGCAACTTATTTCTTGGGATGTTCCGTTTCGATTGCGTAACTTTCTGGAACCTATGTGCATATAATGTAACCGTCAATATTTATAACTCCTACGTTCTAAGGGCAATATTAAGCAATTTGTTTTTGGTTCAACAATCTGTTTCCGTGCATGTGACAGCCTCTTTATTCTACATAAAATGTACCTATTGTACTTTGCGAGTGTGCCGAGTCACCATTGTCAATGATTGATTCACTCATTAAATATAGAACTTTTACACTGACTGACCGTCGTCCGGTCTAGGTACACATATTCGTTGGTAATCGTTAGCTCGCAGTTATAAAGCGCTCGCTGCTCTCTACAAACAATAGAGAAGCAAGTACACTATATGTATGTATGTGTGTAGTCGCTACTCACACACGCGCATGCGTTTACTCGTACACACAACGGATGTTACCTCAGGCTAAATATGTATATTGTTATGACTGACACGGACATATAAAGGTGCTCTATTATTCACTGACTAATCCACGATACTTGCAGACGAAGTATCTTTTACCCAAGTGGAAGAAAAAAAAAACCACACATCGAGTTGTGTACCAAAATCATTATGTTCCACATATAATGCATGAATTAGATATATGCCACATAAGCTTACCAGGAACTAGTGCAAATGTAGTGAAGGCGTTTATTTACAATATTGAGCTAAAAAGTGCAAAATAAAACAGTAGGTTTTTGTTTAGACATACTGTCGCGGGCATGATTGTTATAACAAATTCCACATCATTTTATAACGCGAACTCAAACTCGGGATGGCACTGTCCACCTCACTAATAAAATTTGCAGGACAGAATTCGAACCTGACACTTTGCAGCAACCGGCCCATCGAGTTGTAGTAGTAGCGCTTCGTGTCATGTAGGCAGATAATTTAAAAGCAATGCCTCCACCGCCCCCTACCGACTATAGTTTTCACTTTTATGCTTTGGGAAAATATAAGCATATTTTGAACCAACGCTACCTACAATATACTAATTCCGAAAAATAGAGCTTTTGGTACGTTTATTGTATTTTATTTCGCTAGTTGTCGCTAGTTATTTTCTTCCTTGGTTCGGATCTCGCTGAGAGAGTGTCCGTTACCTCTATGTTCATGTTTGACATTGTCATTTGTTTGACCGTTAATGGGTCTGTCAATACGAGGCAAGCATACTGCAAGAGGCGCTCTAGTATTAGAACGCGTTATGAAGTGGCGTGCACCCGGAAGCAATGGTGGTAGTGGAACAATGGTCGGGTCAGATGGCGGGCGGCACAGCACGCGTGACGTCACGCGCGTCCTTGCGCCGGCGCAGCGCTGCCGCGTCAGGCCGCGGCCGCACGTGCTCTCCAGCTCGCTGAGTCAGCAGCGCCGCGCCGCCCTACTGTCACTGCCAAGGTCGCGGCGCCTCCATCTACCATTCTTTTGTCTTATTTACAGTCGCACTTACTGTCCGTACTTATGTACCACCCCAACACTGATGTAGGTACATACCTCATGTACGGTATAGTATGCATGCACACAGTTTTTAAACAACAACCTTATATAATTATAACCCAATAGGTTATCTAAAACTTGATATTTAAAAAATCTCACTTATAAAAACTACTTAGAAAACAAAAACCAAGTGGTGAGAGAATTGGGGTAACACAGCAAGCTGTAGGTTTCCGGCGTGGCCTAACTGAAGCACAGCTGGATGGATGGCACTATGTTCTATTTGATGCTTTGACTGATTGGAAACCCTCCCAGCGGTGGACGTAATGACGAGCGAGCCGCGCCTCGACCCGTCCTCGTTCATCCCGTGGCGGGGTGACGCAGGTTGCTGGAACCTGCCGCCGTCACGGGCACGGTCTTGTCATGTCAGTGTGTGTACCTCTCGAGTCGACAGCAATGATGGTTTCCTTCACAAGTCGCAAACTATTTACATACATAATATATGTTCTAGTTGTCAATGTGTTTAAAAAGCCGCAGTGCGACCTAAGCCTAACAGTATTAGCCGAGTCCACCGGCACGCACTCGCTTACATAATGTTCCGTACTTAAGTAATGTTTATTTCTTGCTACGAAGTTACATTCCTATTTAGAATAGTAATAGTAGTTGATAGACATGAGTAGGTCTAGTATATCTACATACATAAACAGACGGGGCTCAGATCCAGGTACAGGTTAGGGTGTCGTCTCCTAGCGGGTTAAGAAAAGTATAATAAATATAATAATATGTTACATCAGCAGAATTGTAGGCACCAGTTGGATCTCTGTGTGAGACGGAGTAGTTGTGTGCTGAGAGTGGTAGGACGTTGGACGCTCGGCAGTCGGCAGGTGCAGGTGGAGTAGTAACTAGCGTGTGTTGCGCAGTCGACATGGCGGCGGAGTTTTTCACGGAGGGGCGCGAGTGCGTGAACTGCGGCGCCATCCACACCCCGCTGTGGCGGCGCGACGGCACCGGCCACTACCTGTGCAACGCGTGCGGCCTGTACAACAAGATGAACGGCATGAACCGGCCGCTGAAGCAGCCGCGGCGGCTGGTACGTCAGCGCCTCGCCGCGCCCCACGCGCCCCCGCACGACGTACGCAACATGTGCTCACTAACCCCGCGTATCCCGCCCCGCGCCCCCGCGCCCCTGGGAGATCCGCGCCCGCCGAGCGTCCGCTCCTACTGCTCGCTTGCGCTCCTCTCAGCGCTCAGTCACCCTTGTTCTGGTTGCAGTGGCCACGGAGGGGGCCCCGCCGGGCGCGGATTTCTACAAGGGCTTCCTGTTTAACGGCATGGCGACGTCGCACGCGCACGCGCTGCCCGCGCCCGCGCCGCTCGCGCACCCCGCGCACCAGCCCTCCACCCCCTCTGACTACAAACAGAAGAAAGGGGTACGTGTCCCGCCCCACTGCCCCGCCCCGGCCCCGACCCGCACCCCACCTAACGCCCGCCCACTAACATCCATCGCTTCTCTATCTAACATCACCGTAACTTGGTACTTGCCATGCATGCAAAGTTAACGAGCCGCCCAGTAACTCCCGGTGTGCACACAGATGGGCACGAAGCGGCCGGGCATGTCGTGCACCAACTGCCAGACCACGACGACGTCGCTGTGGCGCCGCAACTCGCTGGGCGAGACTGTCTGCAACGCCTGCGGGCTCTACTACAAGCTGCACAACATCAACCGACCGCTCGCCATGAAGAAGGACTCCATACAGGTACGGGCTGTGTCCATACTAAGTCATCAAAGACGACACATTTCCTTTAAATATGTGCAACTTAGCAAGGCACATTTCAAAGTAAATAAGTGGAGAGTAAAAATGAAATGTCTCCACTGGGTCGGATTCTGGACACAATTACACTACGTATTCTTGTTATTTCTTTCATAATTTAAATGTACTTTGTATATTATTTCAGACGCGTAAGAGGAAACCAAAAAACAGTATAAAAGCAGAACGCAGCATAAAGGCGGCAGTGCAGCGCACCGTCACCTCCGGAGTGAAGATAGAGAACCTGCGTGAGTACCACTACACACACTTCTTCGATACAGTATATGTATAAACTCAACAATACTTTGCCCGAAAGGGGAATCGAATCCTTGTAATCCGTGTACGTATATAAATCCACAAGGGGCTGTAACTTCAACATTAGGGTCCCTAGCCGACCGACACCACAAGTTTTGATTTCGGATTTTTATTTGAAAACGCTCAGAGATTGGAGTAGCTCCATCATAAGTATGAACGCAAAACACGTACCAAAACGCCAGCAACATGCTCTAAACAAGAATGTTGCGCCAAAAATAAACGTCACAAAGATATTCGACAGCAAAAAATATCTGCAAAAATATAGGTAAAAATAAGGTCGTAGTGCACTTACAGTATTTGTAAGACGATTTAAGTTGTATGTAGTTACGGTCGAGATGAGTTTATGTAGCCAAGCGCAGATTTGTAACACCAAAGTTTACTAGACATACCGATCACATTTAAGTTTGAGTAGGATTCTAGTCCGCGGTGTTCGTACTAAGTAATGAAGTGTCAACTAACTAAAATTGTATGGAGCATCATTATAAATACGATACAAAAAGTAGTCTGTCAGTATGTACGTGAACCGTACAGGGGTTCCATAATAAACTCCAAACTCGGGTTTAAGACAAATATTGACACAAAAGTCAATTATAAAGTATTGGTGTATCTAAATAATAATAAATAAAACGAGTTAGTGTTTTCTCCTGACTCCACTCGCTCCACTTGAAGTAATCTTCTTCTTCTATCTATCTTCTAAATATATAAAACTCAAAGGTGACTGATATAGTGATCTATCAACGCACTGCCCAAACCACTGGACATGAAATTTGGCATGCAGGTAGATGTTATGACGTAGGCATCCGCTAAATCAAATCAAATGAAATCGTTTATTTTGCAAAGAATATGGGTACAAAATAAGATGTTAGATTTATACATAGTTCCAACACATTCTACCTTACGGCATGCAAAAGAAAAAGAAAAGTTTAAAGTTATTAGGTACTATACAAACAAATAAAAATTTATTAAAAGGCAACAATTACTTAAATTATAATAGAAAAATATAATTAACATTATTATAGACTATCGTCATTAAAAAAATCTTGAATTGAGTAATATCATTTATCTATAAGTAGTGACGTTAGCCTCTTTTTGAATAGACCTAAAGTTAGTTCTTTATAGGCCTGGGGTATTTTATTATAGATGACAGGGCCCATTGACAGAAGGCTTTTCTTTAGTAATGCTGTTTTGTATGTACCTGTAAACATTCGATTTTCATATACACAACTGTCGGTATTTTTAAGGCTAGTCATTGATCTTATGCAACGTTTTTGGGCTTTGAATATGCTCTCTCTCTCAGTACAGTTGCCCCAGAAAACTACGCCAAATCTCAAAACAGAAACTACCAGACCATGATAAGCTTCAAGTACAGTGCGATTATTTACTTTCTTTGCTAGGTTATAGAGTAAGTACGCTGCCTTGCTTAACCTTTTACATATATCCTCGGAAAGGATTTTGATTAATTTGACTCCCAACGCGAGTGAAGCCGCGGGCAAAAGCTAGTTCTACGATAAAAGTATTCATTTGAGTTTGGACGCTGCTCATAAACAACATCCATGTTGTGTGTAACGTGGGTCTAGTGTTTTCCTTAAAGTGTACACACGGGTGGAGTCAATATTTTCAAATAGTGTAGTTATGTCTCATGTAAAGTTGATTGTTTACAAGTACTTACCATCAGGACATAAGTCTGCTCGTTTGCGCGGAGTCCATAAAAATGTCTCGAGTGATGAGGTTGAGCTTTGGAACAGGTTTCAGCCTTCTAATTGGTTAGTTAACTTGAAACAGGCCAATCAGAGCATCGTGTGTCGGCCTTGCTAACTCCGCACTGATCAGTCGTCGTTGTAATTTATGTAAAATCTCACTCGATACTATTAGCATGAGATCCAGATTCCGGTCCAGGAGCTCGGAAGTTGTACCTCAACAAATATCTTTAATACAAAGCTCACGTCTGCATTCTTATAATATACTTTTGTTAGTTTTGTACTATCACTCACCGTGACCATCTGGTACTGCCTTTCTTTCTCTTACGCCAATATTATGTGACAAGTCAAAGTCAAAAGTCAAAAATCATTTATTACAATTAGACCTTTACAGGCACTTTTGAACGTCAAAACAAAATTTTGAAGATATCGTGTCAGTCTGTCGGTCAGTCCTCTTAGTGAAGCTATTTGCTCGTTCCAAAGTGTAGATTCCGATGGAGAAGAACGAGCAAGAAACTCCATGGTTACTCTTTTTAAATCAGTTTCACATACAGATTCCTTTTACAAACAGTTGGTTCAATTATGTGAGAACAGTGTAACACTAATATTAATTCAAATATAAAAATAAAGTAACCTTAAGGACAATAGACAGTCTGGAGCTGACCAGTCCCAACTGACGGCGCTCGTTCACGAGCATGACACGTACACCAGCATCGCCCAACTCAACCATATTATAGGGAATTAAGCGATCCAGCGCCCATGCCACCGCCAGTGTGACCTTTCAGTGAGCATGACAACCCCAAGCTGTTATAAGGACCGACATTCTGCTAGTCTAAACAATTGTAATAGGTTACAGGGCACTCACATTTACAAATTTAACAAGTTATAGTTATACAATATAATGCAATTTCACTAAAATGAAGAAGTCCCGTTCAAGCAAAATCCACTGAAACGTTATTTATTTTGGTGTAGGTTTGCTATCCTGTGGAGCAGGACCAGCATGTCTCCAAGCATCTTTATCTATAATGTAATTATTCAATGTGTAGTATGCTTTCCTACATAAAGTTTTCTTTACACATAATTTAAAATTTCTTTCATTTAATTGTTGTATTTCGTCTGAGATTTTGTTATAACATTTAACACAGAATCCCATGAACGACTTGTGTACCTTTGCCAATCTAAATAATGGCTGACATAATCTATCTCTATGTCTAGTACAATTTTTACACTTTTTATGGATTCAAACCTGTACCTAATGTATGACTTGTTGAACTAAATAACTCTAAAAACCTGGAGCTCGAACGTGTTGCAGTGTCCTGGCACACACAATAGCAAAACATAAAGTTACTCGACAGACAATAAGGAGATATAGTAGGTACATGTAATGAAATAGAAGCGCAGGATTGCGTGGTACGGTCCCGTGTCGGTGGTTACGCGAACCTATAATCGTTACGGAAGTGGTTTGTTCAAAGATGTTACTGCTCTCATATCCTAATATTCTGTATTTTCTATTTCGTGATTGTGATGCTACATATTCTAAAACTACATATAATGCGACTTACATGCAGCTACTTTTTGTAGACTTCTGATATCCAATCAAAACTGGTCGCCTGCAAAACTTGTTTGAAACACTTTGTTTGGAAAACTTCAGAAAGTGGATCGAATCCTGGGTCGGGTAAAACATTGTTGAGTTTAGTGTATTGACTGTGTGAAGTTGCCGTGAGAGTTAACGTGTGGTGTCTGGCAGTAGAGGGCGGGTCGCACGGGGGCGGCGGGGCGCGGTCCCCGCTGGCGCTGAACTACTTCGTGCAGCAGGCGCTGAAGGCGGAGGAGCCGCCGCCCGCGCACGCGCAGCACGCGCACGCACACACACACACGCACGCGCACACACACGCGCACGCCGCGCTCTACGACGAAGAGTACCGGCGCGCGGCCGACGAGCGCCTGGAGCGGCCCACCGTCGTCTCCATGGGCAGCTGAGCGGAGAATCTCACTAGGTTACGTACTACGTTACTGCTGCACGGCGCACTGAGTGCCCGTGTCTCCCACTGTTACCAAATAATAATGATGTAATAATAAGCGATGAGACTGTATCTGCCGGCTCCTTCCCGGCGCCTCTAGCGCTGCATTCCTAGCTAGATATAGATAGCTTCTTATTTACATATATTATATTATATAGTGTTCTGAAGAGGCTGTATTGAATGTTTCGTAAATAAATTTTATTTTATGTTAATCTCTATAGGATTTATATTTTTATAGATATTTAGCAGAGGTGTCCACTGACACGGCGGTTTGTTTGAGTCGACGTCTCGACATAAATCGACTCGAGTATTGCATAATACGAGTCGTGTCAGAGCGACACCCCAGCCGACATTAGTGTCGCTTGGTATGTAGTCGTTAACTCCATGACTTCGACAAGCATTCCATGAATGATCTGACAAACACAGGTCACGCCACGCCCACGCAGCGTTCACGGCCGGACCCGCCGCATTATACGCTCCTCCTCCTATGACCTCGCGTACCTCACAATGCTGCCAGCGACTTCGTTTGCACAACTTTCATTCCTATTCCAGTTTCAAAAAAAAGAACTTTTCTACAAATCCGTCCATTGGTTTCGGAACCATCCAAATCCATATGCAACAACTTTTTATTTTTTTATAACGTTATGCTGCTTTTGAGTATGAGCCCCTGGAGTGACTTGGTACTAGTCGAGTTATTTCGCCAGATAGTGAGTGAGCCGTTAAACATATAGTGAAATATATTTTCTTGCGTGTTGGATGTTGTATGCGTGGAGTGGCTTGGCCTGTGCCTGGTACTGAGTAAGTGCCCACTGGGCCGCGGTCGCCCCCGGCCTGTAGTAACGCAAAGATCTGAAGTACCTCTCTACCGCATTAATCCGAATTATAATATAATAATAGTGTTAACAATAAATTAGTTATTTGTAATTATGTTTTTATATTGTGTCGACAATCGTTGCATGTTCATAGAAAATAATATATAACAATAATGTTGAAGTAGCTATACGAGGAGTGGCTGTCCGTCGGTGTGTGTAGAGCTGGCACGTTGTTGCCGAATGTTATTGTTTCAATACATTAATGTAAGTGTAATGATGTGATGTTTTAGATATTTATGCGTTGACGGAGAGTCCTAGTTAAGAATCATGTATCTGTGTAAATATTATGTAAGTGACAACAAGTACACCTTCAATTAAAGGTCAATGGAAACTGACGACTTCTTTTATTGCGCCCTCCGGCCCTCCCACATTCCCGCACTCCCACTCTTGTATCTACTTGTTGTACCCTACTACCGCACCGCAGGGCTCGGCCCGTGCTGGCTGTAGTAGGTATTCGGGTATAACTGGAACTGATTCTTGTAACATTATGGAGACAAGACTAAAAAGGAAGATAGTTCGCTGATATTTTGTAAGTTGTATGAAGGCACACACAGCGATGGCGATATATCCCTGCACAGTAGACGGCCGTCCTACCCACGGTCTGTCCTTCATAACGACGACTCGCTGAGTAGGTACGTGCGATGTAGGTACTCACGTTGTTTGCCAACTTCGGCTAACGCGTGGAGTACGTGACAAAATATGGAACGCACACATGTACACACGCTTACAGGGAGCGACTGCGACGAGTGCTTCAGGGGGCGCGGGGCGCGGGGCGCGGGGCGCGGGCGCGATACACTGAAACAATATGGCGGCGGCTTATCAGTGAGCATCGCGTCACGTGCGTGTCTCCCCGCGCACTCCGCGCGCGCCCCCGCGACGCCACTCTTTATTAGCTTTTCACGGAAAATATTCGACGAAAAAAACAACTGATAAGATCGCGATGAGGTCGAGCGGCGCCCATCAATAATCCGTCGATGTATCGGCTATCAGATCCGGAGCGGGGATTACGGCGACCTACCTACCGAACGACGCAGAGCTACATGGAACCGCGCCAGGTCTCCGGGCGGGCGCCGTGCCGACTGTAATGAGCCGCAAATGCGTGCTCTCCTAATCAAATCTCTAGGCCTTCTATCTGATAATTAGCCGGTATCGGGGATGGTATCACGGTATCTCGGCTCCAGATACGAGGCTCCTGCGGGGCGCGCGGCCGCGGGGCGCTCGGCGACGTTCCCTACAAATATTTGGCCGCGCTCGTCGCTCGGCGCTTGTTTGCCGACGTTATCACGTGACGCGAACACACCCAGGCGTCCCCTCGCTTGCACAACGCGCGGCCTGCAGGCGGCTCCCTGCCCGGGCCGGACGCGTGCATCGCGCCGGCTCGCATGCACGCGTGTACTATGTACTAACTACAGCTGTTCAGATAGATACAGTATCTGTTAGATACGATTATCAAAACTTTAAGATAACCGGTCTCACATTAGCGCCTAGTTAAGATAAACGAGATAACAATTTGCATATCTAAAGAAAGGCGCGATACTAAGTGGTGTATCAATGGGGTCGATGCACTGTACACACACACGCTACGCGCGAGTATCGCACCTCCCATGGAAGTATGTGTAATCAGATTAGAGGGCGGCGCACTCCTCCGCCGAGCTCCCGCGTCGCAGCAGCCCACATACTGCCTCGTTGGCCTACTCTGACAGCACCTTCACAACTAAACTTCTCGTTTTAGGACACAGTTTAGGATTCCGACTCAAAAACACCAGCCACCGAGTCAACAGTGCAGTCCTGTTGTGTCCACCTACATAGTAACATTGCTCGTTCCGCAATGAACAAGAAGCAGTGTGGTGGCAAGGCGAGGTGGTGGTGCTCCAGCCAGTACTCGTGAGAACGGAGCGCGGCGCCCGCTATCTGCCCGTACATTGACGAGCGCGTGACAGCTGCGATAGCGCAGCTCCACTCCTGCTACAAGTTGTGAATGCGCGTGCTACACACATAGCCATGCTCATTCAATGCTCTACGATTCAGATCTATTGAAATATCATAACTATGATGGAGAGTGTATGTGTCGCTATGTGTAAAGGTATGTAGGTTGCACTAGCAGCGACTGGTTGTGCAGTGTCGCAAGCCGCGCGCTGTGGTTACATAAGCAGCTTGTCTTGACAAGATAACGACTTCACATCGACACAGTTTGACACGCGACGTGACTCATCTTCGACACCTCGCTACAAGTGCCGTCAGATTAATCTGTTTTGACAGGTTGACGTCTCTCATGATCTGGTGATACCTGAACGAAACAAACAAACCCAGTTTGATTCCACCGCTAGGCTCGATGCTCCAACTATGACCTACCTGTTTGTAAAGAGAACAACATCCTGCGAGCACCCGCTACTTCGATGGGAATGTTCTTTGGGAACGCGTCTACACAAAGACTTTAACTGTCAAAATTCTTGCATTAGGTCGCCGAATGCCCAGGGTGGGTCACACACTAGTCGTCTGTTTCAGAGCCCCCTCACTTTCCTTTAACAGTGATGGGAGCCGTTAAGTAAAAAAACTAAAGGGTCAGTGTGAGACAATATTCTAAAAATATATACAGAGTGAGTAGTAGATATTTACCTCAAACAAATACCTAAGGGGGTGTAAGTAGATATTGTTTGTGTTATGTACAGTTTTTGAGGGTTTCCACCGAGGTACTGCCCTCTCAGTGAGAGCAGTCAGTTGCTCGGGCCTTTTTAAACTACCGAATAAGAATCGCAGATTACAGGTTAAAATCGCTAGTACAAAAACAAGGCGGTTTGCTATTGAGCAAATAGTGATCCAGCAGTAACGGCTGAATCATTTAGCGTCGAGGACGACATACCACGATAGGTAATCACACGTGTTGTTATACACGCACACACACGCAGCCACTATCAGTGCCGTCAAGTGCGCAGATAAGACAAGCGCTATGTGTTCCTCCAGCGCTCCACCGAGCGGAGCAAGTCCGTGCTGCAGCCAGCGAGCGCTGCGCTCTACACCAGGTCGCTGACAGCGCGAGGTGGAGTCTGCACGTACTCTGCTCTAAGCAGGACCCCCGACCCTTTACAGACTAGTAGCCACGCGGGTGACGTTGCTCGATGATTGGCTATGATCCGAGCTGGTCTTTGATTGTGCAACGATGGGATCGAGGCTGTGCATAGAACGTTCTCGATGCAGCAAGTCCTCGCTTCACGCGCTGAGTCACGGCCGCTTACCCCGAAGCCTGTATTAGGCGCGTGTGTCATGCGCTCGCCAGCGTCGCGTCATCCCATCACTTACACGCGGTTGTTTGCTTACTTCGCCAAATTATCGTTGGCTACATGAGTATGGTGAACTTACATAAACTATTTTTGGTTGGTATTTAGATAATGCTATATTTCGGACTGATAACATCCAACTACCAACATTAATGCCTCTTTTTAGAAATAGAGCACTCACACCTGATACATACAACTAGGTCATAGAAAAACTAAACACACGCCAAGTTATTGTGTAATTTGATACATGTGGCGATATTGGCTGCAGAGCTCGTAGGTGTACTACGCACTACTACGCGCTACTACGCATTGCTACGCTCTGCTACGAACTACTATATACACGTATTTGTTAATAACTCCAATCAAAAATTATGTTGCTCCAATTATACATAGTTAATATGTTCTCTATTGTCCGGTTGTATAGTATAATGTGGTGCCGGCCCGATTCCCAGATAGAGATAATAATATTAGTAATCTTTTGTAGTAATGATATCGCAAGGAGCTTCGAGACGACACCTAGGAGGACCTGTGCGTGACCTCTCCGCTCGTGAATGAGAGAGCACTGGCAGGTACACTTCCAAGTGGTTTACGAGTTAATATTTATATATCAGTTGCAATTAGCCAACAGCGCGTGGTTGATAATTTATCTATACTTATATTATAAATGCGTCTTGTCTTCACGCCTAAACGACTAAACCGATTTCTGTGAAATTCGGTACAGACGTAGTTTGGAACTCGAAAAAGCACAAAGGATAGTTTTTATATCAAAAATCAGCAGGAAGTCACTATTCCAAGCGAATGAAGTCGCGGGCAAAAGCTTGTAGTTAATAAATTACCTCCGTTAATTTACTAGTTAGTGATTAGTAGTTTATTATCTTTGCAGCTATTTGTTTATGTTAACCTATGAAAGTGATTAGATCAGTGTACACTAATTATGGTATTTGTCAATTTTTGAAATTGCAGTGCTCGTCAGACAGTCCGGGAAGCAATGTACCTCCCCTGCCGCCCCGCGGGCTGCCTGCTGCAGGCTGCTGGTGGCACGCTTCCTCTACTGCCTCGCAGTGTTAGACACCATATTATTATTATATTGCAAACTTAACTAATGAATTCACTAGCTGTGGTAAATTACAATGTTTGTAATGTGGAGCCTTGTTGTAACAATACAGTACAGTACACTAGTCCTGCGGCTGCCGCAGGTAACGACTGGGGGACTACACACTTTGACAACCCTACTACTTGAACGAGGTCAGCTGTTGACTATCTCGCTGCCGCTATTTGTATATTGGTAGACTTGTCTTCTAGAAAATGTAAGTTTAAAATTATGTCGGAGTCTGTAAAGCAATGAGCAGTGTCGGTTGGTGACGGCGGGTAGAGGGCACACGGGAGGAGGGCGTGAGGCGCTATCCCATGATTACTATTATCGCAGGTAATTAGACCGATGATCGATGTCTCAAGTAAGCCTCTAATTGATAAGATATCGCGACGCATTACTCTTATCGACTTTTTATTGTTAAGATACGTATCGTAAATACAATAATTATTGTTTAAAGCGCACCTCATACCTACTATATTATAGCGACATAAATTCGGGGATAAGAGAGGATTATTACCGCCAGGCGGAGGTCACGTCATTCGCTGCACTCCTCCTGTCCACCTCCGCAGTAGTCCCAGCACGACGCCGCCTCCCTCGCACACAGGAGCCAGTCACGTACTCCCACTGAACATATGTACCACCGCCGAGGCGCCACCACTCCTGCTGCAGCTGCACGTCTACACCAACCTCACCAATAACTAAACTCCTCCACCGAGCAAGTCTCGCGTGACTGTAAACAGCTTGTCAGATAGCCGTACTACACAAATACAGAAGTACTGCTACCTGTTGAAACTATCTCAATCGGATATCATTGAACAACTAACAGAGTTGTTTAAAACAAGAATAGCATTTACTTGGATATCTGTTTTGATTAGTTAAGTTATCAACGTGATAGTCAGATAGTGCAGTCGGTGTAAGAGGCAGCCGTCTCAGCATCAGCGCGGCCGCAGCCCGCGCCGGCGCTGGGCGCGGAGACAGGCCGCGCGGCGAGGGGGGCGCGGCGCCGGCGCTCGGCCAATGGCAGCGCGGCCTCGCACGCACACAGGCGCGCGGACCGGCCCACTCGGAAAGCTCGCCTCTCACCTGGAGCGCAGCAGACGAGCTGAGCGCTCGCCGCCACACTCCGTCGCCCGCGACTCTCGCGCCCGTACTTACTCGCGCCCGCAGAGCGAGCCCTGCACCCACCGCACGCAGCCCGCGACCAGCGCCCGGCGCACGGTGAGTACTCCGCCACACTCCGCCATCCACCACTCCCTGCACGCACCCTTCCCACCACATGAACATTCGAAGACAACCATCATCGCGAGCGTGTAAACATTCATAGATACGTTTCTAATAGATTTATAGTGATCCGTAACAGTGTAAACCTGGTGACAGATGTGTACATTTCAATGTTTTCCGAAACAATAACATGACGATGGATAGCGGACTGATCATAGCTGCGTATACATATATTAGTGATCTGTGTCATAACTTGTGTGCATAGCCAATATGATAGTGCGCAGATTTATGAAATGTTCGTTATAGATCACGGGTCACGGTGCATATACTTCAGCGGCGAAACGGACGACTGTGACACAGCGTGCTATACCGCGCAAATACCATCCATTACCGCCATTAATTAACTTCATTATTAATATTAAAACTAAGTGAAGTGCATCCTGTTGGAAATAAAGAAGATTTAAAAAGTATTTGTAAAAACATCGCGCCGTACAGACAGAGCTGGCAGTGGTCGGGCGTCGCCATACTAGTTCGCTAGAGCCAGATACAGTACCTGCAACGCATCCGAAACAAGCCCAGTACCTCCCAATGTGACATTTTCCAAATATATTTACTGTCCAAGTTGGTTCAGTCTCCCTAACTTAGGATGAGGAACCACGTCGTGAGAAAACAAATGAAAATGTAAAACTGAAATAGCAAAACAAAATTGAGCAACCGTGGAGCTCAATGGTCTGTGCTCGTTCCTTCTACGTACGGAGGAGGGCTGTGCGATAGGTTACTAGCTTGGCAAGGACTTTTATAAAAAAATGTGTGCTTGTGTAGATCTGTTGATGGTACTCTAGTCACGGGTCAACATATGTCGACACGGAGCCGACGGCGGCACTACTTGCAACGTACTCAAACTGTGTATTGGTGCGCCTACACACACTGCAGCACTGAAAGCGGGCTACCTGTGTATACACGTCCGCAGGGCCTACACGTCTACCATAAACTAATTTTAGTAAATTACTAGTTTTTTATGTTGACGCTTCAATGTTTTTATCTCTGTTATTTAAAATCTGGAGAGATGAGAGAAGTGTGAGTGACTGCGTCATAAGAATCCTGGGAAGAAAGATATTCGTTTGACCGTAAGGAAACGTATTATAAAACCAATGAGTAAATACTAAACCAGCTAGTAACATCCCCTCGGCCACGTAGCAATACAGCAGTGGTGAGGGAGCTCTGTCACCGCTGCGGCGCCGGCGACACTACGCGTCATTAGTAAAGTACAATCCTGCTGGGTGCTGGTCACTGCATCGACCATCACACCCATCAATCGTGTGTGTAACATGTGGGTTCCATTTCTATGCAATGTGATAAATAAAACATAAATGTGATTAATTTAAATGTGGGAGAGCCATGCATCGACACGAATGAGTCGGCTCGACCGCTGGCCTCACAGAAAACTGGAGTGCGTGAAGCAACACTTGCGGTGAGTTTTGCCGCGTGACTGAGGATACCGGAGGCCCATTCCGTTCGCCTCTCCATCCTCAATCCTGAAATCCCATATCCTTAAATTCCTAATAACCCACAAGAAGCCCGCAACGCACTTGTTCTCTTTAGTATAGCGAGTGTGTATGTGCAGCGCTGATAGCCTGCCACCAGGTAATCCGTATGCTCGTTGGCCGACCTATTACATAAAAAAATGTGACTGAAATCGCTGTGTGGCCTGAAAGCATGTACTGGCTATATGTAAGCAAGACGAGGCTTTGTAAACAGTAATTTCAATGTATTATCATTCATCATCGTTGTTTTACGTAATGTCGTATGAATTAGTATACGAGAGAGAAGGTGTTGCAAATAAAATAATAATTAACAGTTAGGTACAACATCGTAGTACAACTTGCGAGCACGTCGTTTGGCAGCTGCAACGCACCACGAGAAACACGGATGGCAAGACAAGACGAATTGCAAGTGTGTTGCCAGCCTTTTGGGGATTAGGGTTTCGAAACTTGAGAGATTGGGCGAGGGGAGGAAGGGTTGGGCCTAGCCTGCCTGTAACCTCACTCACACAGCGAAACACAATGCTGTTGTTGTTGTACGCCGCTTTCTGTGAGGCCAGGGCTCTCCCAGATTTTAATAAGAAAAATTGTGTTTTTAGAGCCATGTTTTCTATTATAGTTTTTAGTTTTAGTTTGATATTGTGAAACAAACGTATTTCCAATATAATGATCCCAACAACAATAAGAATTTGATTCGTAGTGGTTAACTCAAACTGATTCTGTACGGAAATTAAATTATACAAAACAAGCAACCCCGCACAGTCCTCGTTCCCACCACAGTAATATAGCTGCCGTGTACTATATTCAGTGTTCAGCTTGGTGGCTGCGGATGTCCACAACATCATCATAAGACATGTACTACATCTACACATAGGTACACATCAGACGTAACCCCAAGAAACGTACACCTGTGTGTGTTTAGTTGAGACGTGTCGACAGTGTGCTCCGTGCACAGCTATATCAATCAAGTGCGTCGGTCCTGAGGTGGAGGAGAGCACTCCGTGAGGACGTGGCACACACACGCACGGCGCTCGGGTCGCGCAGAGTACACGGTGCGTGTAGGGGCGCGAGTGTTTGCTCGCGGGCCGCCGCCGTCTGCGGAGCGCCCAATATGGCTCGATATAATTAATGCTCTTATCATAAAGCACACATCGTAAAAGTTTGAAATATTACTTCCCCGGGATAACCTCAGCTCGACGTTCAACTTTTACATTTTGAGGAGACCCTACTTACTGGAAGTTGTGCATGCTTTATCTTTCAGTGCCCGGGAGGATGGCACGTATAAAATTATTGCAAAATGAAACTGTTTCCCAATTGGTCAGTAAGCAATGCGCCTGTGATGGTTCCGGTGATGATGTACGACTACTAAGGCTATGTAAACTGCTTACTATCAGGCGGTCCGTTGGCTTTTTTGCTACTGGTGGTAGTATAAAAAAGGAGACGTACTTTATACCTCGTAATAAATAAACAAAACAAAACATTAGTAAATCTGTTCCGATTAATTGGCAGACAAATACACACTCCAGTTGTAAGAGTAGTTTAGGCCAATACAGGCACGGAGCGCGCGAGGTCGGCGCCGGCGCACGAGCTTGTTCCCTATTAGTCGCACACATCCGCTGTCGCTCTTCCGCTCCCAAAACGAATCCTCCTTGTTTACTTAGACGTCTGCCTCAAATAAGGCACGCTGTGCTTGCAACATCCTAGTTTTTTGTTTAGCTAAACTGTTCCTTTGTATATACAAGTGAGTAATTGAATGTCTCGCAGGTAGGAATGGAGAACGTGGCTCAGATGGAGCAGGCCGACGTGCACGCCTCCGCGGAGGCCCTCGAGCTGGTGAAGAACGAGGTGCGCTCCGAGCAAGAGCAGGCCCCGGAGAACTCGACCGCTACAGACGCGCCAGCCGACCTGCACGACCAGCAAGCGGGCCCCGGACCCCTGCACGAGCAGGCCGGCCCCGCCAGTATGCGAGAGCCCTCCCCTCCTGCGCACTCACACTCCGTCATTACCTCGCGCCGAGCTGTGCGCACTATCACCGCCGCTGGGCATATCACCACTGATGAGCCCGGGGAACTCGCCAACGATGAAGGAGTCAAGGATGAGCCGCAGGAACAACCTCCGCTGGACGAGCAACAGCTGCAAGTTCAGCACTACACCGCCGCCAAGCTGGAGGACGCTGAGGCGCGAGAGCAGCAACACTACGACGAGGAGCGGCTGCGCCTCGCTGAGGCAGAAACGTCGCGCTACCTCGCCTTCAAACAGGAGCCGTACCGCGCGCTGGCGTCGCCCGGCGACAAGCGCGCGCCGCCGCAGTACGCGCGCCCGCCGCAGCGGCCCGCCTACGGCCGCGGGCTCGCGCTGCGCTACGGCGCGCCGCATCACGTCATCGTGGCGCAAGACGGGGACACTGAGGAGGGTGCACACGATGCTTTCCTGCACAAGGAAAAGGAACAGCTCCAGGCCTACGCGGGTGGAGAGGGTACCACCGCTGATAACCGACAGTATGCTGCCGTACTGAGCGACCAAGGTGCTTCTACTCTAGAGATGATCCAAACCACGGCCCTGAACAACCAGCAGTCAGTCGGCGTCGCATACCAGCAGGTGAAGTACGAGGCGCGGGCAGAAGGCGAGCCTCGGCCGACTACTTACGCCAGCCTGCAGCCGGTGACGTCAGTACACGGGGGATATGCGTATGCGGGACAGAGTCCGCAGTACGCTGGCGGGGGATACGGGGCGTACGCCGGGGGCAGCAAGGAGTTGCTGACTCTGTACGGCGGCGGCCCCGCCGCGGCCGGGGGCGCCGGGGGCGCGCGGGGCGACGAGTCCCCGCCGGGGCAGCTGCTGTACCGCAGCGACCCCACGCTGTCGTCCTCGTCGCTGGCGCGGGGCACGCACGTCGTGTATGGCTCCGTGGTCCCGCAGTCCCAGGCAGTGTATGAGACACCGCCCAGCCCCAACTCACAACAGGTACAGCGACGCAAAATCAATATATAACATCGTCTGAAATAATGTAAGACAGGCAATAAACGTACGCATTGTATGCACTAGGTGACGCTGTACACGCACGGCAACACAGTGCAGTACAAGGTGGGGGGCGAGCACTACTTGGGCCAGGGAGGCGGCGTGGAGTACGTGCCAGTGTCAGGGTACGAAGGCGGCCTGCTGGTCGAGGGCTACCCTGCACCTGCGCAAGCCTGGCCTGGACATAACCTTTTACCCATCGACGACAGCTTTGATCCCAGTACGTACTTGAACTGATATTATATGAATGTAAACATTTGTATTACATAAGAGTTTCATCCATTGCTGGGCTGCAACCGCACCCATATATTTATATAGGTAGACTGTAAAAAAACAATTGATTACGTCCATTTCTCGAAGGCTACAGTAGTTCTAAGAAAGAATGTCTGCCGACTTCTAACTATAAAAAATATTGTAACATTTCAACTGCAGATCATAATAAATGATGTGGTGAGGGAGTCTTCATTCTGCATCTGTACAAGGGGCGAAGCTAAACAATGAAATATTCTGTTTAATTGAGTGTTTTGTAATGTTTGCAATGCGAACTTGTGGATTGAATTGATGGAGCCGGCTGGCTGTAGGTATGGCAGGCATGGGCGAGGTGAAGGAGTGCGTGAACTGCGCGGCGGCCACCACCCCGCTGTGGCGGCGCGACGGCACCGGCCACTACCTGTGCAACGCGTGCGGCCTGTACACGCGCATCAACGGGGTCAACCGGCCGCCGCTCAAGGGACAGAAGGCCAAGCCGCAGCAGGCCCTGGTGAGTAGCAGCACCACTGCACCGCGACCTGCATCGGGCGGAGTGTAATGCTGGTCCTTGTTGCAGCCGAGCAACGGCAACCGGCGCGTGGGCGTCACGTGCGCCAACTGTCGCACGTCCAACACGACGCTGTGGCGCCGCAACAACAACGGGGAGCCCGTCTGCAACGCGTGCGGCCTCTACTACAAGCTGCACAACGTGAGTACCACTGCAGCCATTATGGCGGTCGCGCTGATTATACTCCGCGCAGGTATCTAATCGCGGCCCACGCTGCAGTCAGTTATCAGGGAACTCCTCGGCAAATATTGGGTCTGTATAAAAATCAAAACACAGGGTCTCATCTAATCTCGTGAGATAAAACGCGGGGCTACCGACTGATAGAGAATTATCATCGCGCGACCACGAATATTCATAATGAGATAAATAATCTTTTATCAATTATCTCCTCGCGAGTAGATACGCTTGTTTAAAGGATGATAGGCCCGCGCGGCGACAGATTATGAGGAGTTCCCCCGTCTGACTGCGATGACGTATGTGCGCAGGTGAACCGGCCGCTCAGCATGAAGAAGGACGGCATCCAGACGCGGAAACGGAAGCCCAAGAGCATGGGAGGAGGGCACGGCGGCGTGGCGCGGGCCGGGGGCGGGCCGCTGGCGGGTGAGTACGTGGGTCAGTGGCCGCGCGGCCTGGACGCCAGTCGCGACTAACGCACCTGTGGTCCGCAGCGGACGCACACAGGGGGCTGCCCCCGCTGTACGCGGCCGTCGAGGGCGCGGGCGGGGGCGCGGGGGGCGCGGGGGGCGCGGCGCCCGCCTCGCTGCTGCTGCTGCCGGCGGCGCGCCATGCGGCCGACATGTGAGTACCGCGGGGTCTGCCTGCCGCGAGGACTCCCGGCCTCGCTACCTCCGCACCGCACTTCTGCTCCTGTCCAGCTCCGTTGCACTCTTTGCTTCGCTTGCTCTTTCACTAGTCGTATAGTTTGGACTTGTTGCTTCTTTAGTTCTGCACTTTGACTAATCGCACCCTCTACTGTCTTCTCTCCAACTCCCTCGTACGCACTGAATGTTACAAGATATTGATGCTTCAAATGTCTCTTCAGTTAGCTACAGAGTAGTATGTATGTGACTCCTGTTAGTAGAGACTCAGAGTTATACTATGACGACAGTTGGCAGTTCTCTTAAAATCTGTATAATTAACGTTATTTACGTTTGCATTACGTTATCTCAAGGTTGAGCGCTATTTTGCCACAAATTATATTAATAGCAAATTTGTATTTACACCATCTTCCTGCCGTTGTACACTGAGGTTCAGTTTGTGTCTTACCAAATATCTTACAGATGATGTTTGAATGTTAGACAAGACACGACACAAGCTTCGTGGTAATTACACAAGTATGGTATTGCAGGGTACCAGCGCTAGATCGCAGCGCCCAGCACTACCGGCCGCCGTAACATGACGCGTTCTCCCCGCGCGCCCTGGCGCCTTCAGCGCGCCTTGGCGCCCTCTGCGCGCCGGCGCCCCGCGCGCCTCGCGCCCTCAACGCTCTGCTGCCTCCATTGCAAACAACGCGAGGAAAACTACTCTTTGATATCCGCAATTGAAACGTCACCGTGCTTGCAACCTAGATACCTGAGCTCGGCGGCTGGGAGGCGCGGAGTGTAAGGACTCAGTGTAGTGCAGTGCCAGTGCGGAGCGTGCACCATGTACTTGTTTACGTAATTTGTTAGGTTTAGATGTAACACGCGACGAATTTACTATATGTTATAAATGTTGTGTATGTTGAGTGTGTGTGTGTGCGTGCGCGAGTGTGTGCTAAAGTGTCTCAGTTGGTTCAGCTAATTAGGTTTACATATTTATATTTTGATAAAACTGTTTGAACTGTTACGATATAAGAGTTTACAAAATATGCGACAAAATAAAATGATTGTTGCGAGTGTACGTGTTGTGATTGTGTCGCAAGTGGGAGCTACCTGCTGCGGCTGTACTGCATGACCAGCCCCGACGTTGTGCCTCGTGGTGGAACACAACCACTTCAGGAAATGTATTTATGTATTTAGATTATAAGTGTGGGAGAGCCATGCTTCGGCTCGAATGGGTCGGCTTGACCGTAGTGATACCACGGCTTCACAGAAAACCGGCGTGGAAAGAGTTGTTTCGCCGTGTGAGTGAGATTACCGGAGGCCTAATACTTCCCCTACCCCAATCCGTTAGCCGGGGTTGCGGGGTAAGCGCAATGAGGCACCGCGACCTCGGCATAGAGCAGGAGAAGGAACAGGGGGGTTTTTAGTCAGTAAGAGTCTGACACTCCCTCCTGCCCGGCCCTGGGCGGGAGAAGTCATTTGATGATTTTTTTTACTCACAAAAAAAAAACCCCAATCCGTTCCCTTTTCCAAAATCTCCAAATCTCTAATCCCCAAAAGGTCGACAACGCACTCGTAACTCCCCCGTCGCTGCGGGTGTCCATGGGCGACGCTGATTGCTTACCATCAGGTAATCCGTTTGCTCGTTTGCCGACCCATAACATAAAAAAAATATTACTGTCACCAAAATAAATACTGGAAAAAATAGTTGGATATGAAATACCTAGAGCTATCTGTATTTACAACTTAAGGTAACAACATCACATTAATTTTAAGTTTGTAGCAATAGAAGAAAGTATGAAAATGATAATTTTGTAAATAAAAAAAATCAATCTCTGAAAAAACAAATGACCTATAGGGTACCTATGCAAAACTCATTCGAATTACGACCCATTCCTGAAGATATGCGAATTGATCAAAAACCCTACGACTGTCACCGTTGTTGTTTACCGCTTTATGCAACAAAATCAAAGTCAAAAGTCAAAATCATTTATTTCAATTAGACGACAGTAGGCACTTTTGAACGTCAAGCAAAAAAAACGTGAACAGCGAAAGACTCGTGGTCGCAGCGCAACAAGCTGGTCCATCAGATCTGCACCGCTTCAAATTCCACTATCCAGAAAGGCACTACAGCCACAGAATAAAATGAAGGAATATCGTGGGACATAAATTAACCGTAGTAGTAAGAACAATAAATACACTTGTTAATAGTATTGTCGGTGTCTACATTCGAAAATATAAGTAGTGTATCTTTTGCTTCTTTAATCTATTCCAATATAATCATTACCATCAGCCAGCAGCCTATCAATGTCCCTCTGCTGAGAACACACCTGTTGGTGCATTATCTACATGATGTTAGACGAAATAGTGATATCAAACTTATAATTTTAAATTACAAGTTCAGGAGTCCTCACTATGCATGTGGGTACAAGAACATATACTTAACTCAAAAAATATCACATTGATACTTGCAGGGTTTGAACCTACTCCCTCATGTTTTACAAATTTACACCAAGGCCACCAGTAAAATATATATACATACATAGTATTCCACATAATACGTTGCCGACATGAGAATATATAGGTAATTGTATAGCTCGCACTGCCAAAGAGTACTCCGATCCCATATAGAACCTAGTTTGTAACCCTACACGATTAGCTCTAAATCTATAAGCCCTTGTCTAAAAATTTTAACTATAGCCGGAGCTCGTAGTGCGGAGCTCGTAGGTACAGAAGATCTCGAAGCGCATAGTAGCATTTGCTCGCTCTTACAACATGCACAAGCAACGGTGGGCTCAGCCAGTGACTCGAGCTGGTGAAGCATCCTTGTGATGTCCCGGGGTACAGTACTCAGGGTGACACACGGTCGGAGCATGCGGAATGCTTTGCCGCACCTGACATAGCTAGCTCGGTTCCCAATAAGTATTTTTCTAGCAGTTTCATGAGTAATTTATGTACCTACACAATATCATGATGACTTTGACGCAAAAAAATATGACGTCATAACGTGTTATCTTGTACCTACATACAAATTATCGTTTTTGATACATCGAATTGAGTGAAATATATCAAAGTAAAAGAAAATATTCACAATATCGATATAACGAGTGTATAGGTCAGGCATTTACCTAAGTCATTCAAGCAATACCTACTTGGCTCCGGTTTGGTCACATTGCGGGTGTTCTAGGGGGGTGACATACTTTACTTAGAAGAACAAGCAAAAATAGTCAAATGTCGTCTGTACGTTTGTTTATCTAGGATACCTACAGTACTTACTCAGCCAGTATACAGTATGATAGCGAAAAGTCTTAAGGTATTTATAATAATTTCTCCTAGATATGAACAGAGCCTAAGTACAACTTGTACGATATCGAGGTGGGATTTGACTTGTGCTATCTGAGTTTATCCTAAGACCTACGTGTTGGGAAACTCAAATGAGAGCGATAATCGAGTAGGAGTACCATTTACTACACTTATGTGATATACACGAGACATAATTTGATGTACCTCTCGTTTAAATAATTATTTTTTAAATAGTTACGATGAGTGCAGCCGAAGCTAGCGGGCATTCTTAGTCTAATAAAAGATTGGTAAACAAACCTTTTTAGGTAAGTATAACAGTAACGCCACCTAGCGAGTCTATCTAGAACTAGCATGTATGAAGGGAGGAAATAGCTCTCGACCAATTATGTATTACATTATTTTTAATATATTATTTAAGTATACTGTAAAATTGGAGATAAAGTATGAAATACAACAAACATTACTTAACTAAAAATGTTTTAATTAGGAAAAAAGTAGGTATACTGAATGAAAGTAGAATACATTATTGCATGTATACACATTGCGCGTGTCGGTTGATGACTGGCCATACTCGACAATGGAATAAATGATAATTGTACGTATTCACTATTAACAATAAACCTCTTTCACAGTATTTGCACTAGCAATAAATATTTCAAAAAATAATGTACGTCTCAGCGCATCATGCGCAATGCGGATAACTGTGGCAACTTTACAGTGGTGTGTTAATAAACTACTAGGTGGCGCTACTTGTCTGGCTACTACATCACTTAGACGCATGGTAGATGGCGCTGGGTGCACTGCAGTAAATTCTTCGTATGGTGCGCTTTGTTAATCTTGTGCTACGTTTGTCGATCGGTAATAATGACAGTTGAGCAAGGAGTCTCAGATTTAATTGCGTATTTAATTCTAAGTAGTTTCCAAAAATTCAAAAATTTGTTAAGGTGGGATTGAGTCCAGCATTGGGCAACAGGTACTCTCCATATTACAACCACTTGAAGTAATAGAATCAATCGAGCAGACAGATTACCTAGTGGTAAGCAGTCTACGCCGCTCATGGACACCCGCAACACCAGAGGGGTTGCGAGTGCGTTGCTGGCCATTTGGAGAGTAGGGTTCTCGGATCAGAAATCAAATTCTCTTAGAGATGAGAGATTTATAGATTGGTATAAAAGAACGCCTCCGGTAACTTCACTTAGGTAGGTACACAGCGAAACATGACGCTGTGGTTGTTTCACGCCGGTTATCTGTGAGGCCGCCGTATCACCCCGGTCGAGCCTTCCCCTTCGTGCAGAAAGATGTCTCATACTTTTCTGAGAAATTAGGTAGGTGTAGGTACCAAATCATTACATAAGTATTCCAAGATTCAATCTCAGCATTTCTCTTAACGGAGATTAAAGGCAGGTAGTAAAGGTTTAGCTCTGCGATGTTAAAGAATACCCTTTAAAATAATATGTGCTATGTAGGACATTAAATGAAGCTTTCCACGTTGATTGTTTACATATGTATGTATAGTACGAAGGTTTTTTTTTTTTTTTTTTTGTGAGGGGAAAATCATCAAATGACTTCTCCCGCCCAGGGCCGGGCAGGAGGGAGTGTCAGACTCTTACTGACTAAAAACCCCCCTGTTCCTTCTCCTGCTCTGTGCCGAGGTCGCGGTACCTCATTGCGCTTACCCCGCAACCCCGGCTGAACATCAGCCCTTTAGGGCCCCGTCTGTGGTGGTCGAATGGCTCTTTGAGGCGCGCGCGGAACGCTACGCGCCGTACGCTCGGGCCTGGTTCTGGTCGGGCGGCGAGCTGCCCTTACTCGCCGACCGCAGGCCCGTACTTACGGTGGCCGGAGATCGTCCCTCGATCCTCGACGCCCGTAGTGTCGCCAGTTGCGGCTGCTGGGGCGTGAGGAGGAGGATTGCTCCCTCACGCGGGCCGCCTCTCTCTTTGCGAGCATGACTGCTTCACAAAAGGAGGAGACGGCGTCCCAGTTCCTCTCACTCCGCACCATGGCCTCGACTAAGGCCGGGCGCGAGAGGTCGCCACCGCCGATCACTTCCCTGAGGATACGGCTGTGCTCAGCCCAGGCAGGGCATACCGCTACCGTATGCTCCACCGTATCCTCTAGGTGGTCCTCACAATGACGACACTCGGGCGTACCTACCGAAGCTGCCGTGCCCGGTAAGCACCTGCGTCAGACGGAAGGTGAGGACGCCGTGGCGTCTCTCAAGCCACTCCTCAAATAGTACGAAGGTGCTGTCAATACAAACACATCAAATGAATTACCTAAATACTGCTTCAAAAAATAAACGATTCTGATCAAAGCACCTTGCCTAGTATATTCTGGTGCAATCCAAAAATAAATAATCTGAACTCCTGATGTATATAAGAGATGACCGTACCAGGTCTTTGTGCAAGTACTAATGTTGCGCAGCCGCTGGTAGAGAATAGTAGGTACATCGATACCTTCATCCTCATAGACTTACCAGACTACTATTGACTAGAAATGATATACCAGACCATTGTTGAATAACAATCCTCCCCGTTTTAATTTCTGGTTCGAGCTGTTTTTGAGCTTTACCCGCAACACCGGTATTTCTTAAGGGCAGAATGTTAAATGAAAATATTTATGAATGGCTCACTTGCATTTGAGATATTATAAAATTTAATTAATATTATTAATTATAATTAGGTTATTTTACAATTAAGAGTTTACGGTGTTTAAGCAAAACCGCAATGCGTTACCGAGCCGTGTTACAAATAACGAAGTGCTAGCTATTGCCTAATAACATTTCATTTAAAACAGCCAATACAAAACGTCAATTGAAAACAATCTATTCTGAAACTTGAAAGATTGTGCGCTGTTCCTGAAGCCAACTTCCACACAACAACACAACAACCTTCAGTTTTAAGAGTTCAGTTGAAAACGTTCGTAGTTATTACCTAAACGAAATAGTTTCAGAACATCGCAATTCTAGTAACTTCTTTGGTATTACGTGGTCCATGGGTGGCGTTGATTGCTTACCATCAGTTAACCTGTCTGCTTGTTTGCTAACGTATCTTATATAACAAAATAGAACCTGACAGACCAAACAGATGGACGGACGAACTGCAATGCGTTTTTACCGTTAGGCTACGGCAAACCGAAGGGTTCTATGGGGAATCACTTACGTTTGCTGTATGGGAGCTCTCATAAACATTGATTTAATTCTGTTTTCAGTCATATCTACATTATTATTACAAAAAGGTAAGATTTGTATTTTTGTATGTAACGAATAAACTCATAAAGTGGGTACTGGACCGAATATAAACTATTGAAGATATAACAAAGTGATGCACCTACAACAAATTTGTAGAACTTATCATTGTTTATAAAAAACGTCTCGACATCATACCTCGAACTGTTATAG